CTGGGCACTGAAATTTTCGTATGCTCCTCTCTGGCCAACCTCTACGAAGGCACCGGCAAGGAGGGCGATTGGCGTCTCGTCTTCACCGGCATACCAGTCGTGCTGCATGATCGCGGCAGTGCTCGCGCACGCTCTATACCACGCGTCACAATTGTGCTGGCCGAACGTGGCTCCTCCTTTGCACTCTGGTCGGATCGCATCGATAATCTGTCAAATTATCGGGTCGCCGGTCCATCCTTTCACACGATGTGCCTGTCACAAAACCACCAACAGCTAATCGGATTTAGTTTCGATTCAACCGATTCGGCAAGAGAGCTGCACCATCACATAGAGAAACTGGTGAGTAATCCGGAGAATATAGCGCTCTCGTTGCCGGGCAAGAAGAAGCAGAAACAGAAGCGCGTGAAGCCAGCTCCGTTGCCGCCCAAATCGCAAATTTCGCAGCCATGTCAATTCCAGCACGTGACGAGTGTTACGAAGGACGACACCGATCGGTACTATAGCATGCAAGCGTTTGCGCCGTCGGTGAAGCATCGCTAAAGGCGGTGGGAGAGGGAAGTATGATGTAGTTGTAGGGGGGTGAAGGGTGCAATGTAGTAGCCATAATTATATACGTCTAAAATGTACGCGTAAGCTGTTTAGTAGATTTTTTAAGCGAAATGTAACGACGTCAATTCGTCAACTTAGTCATTAAGTTACATTTAAATAATCGACATTTTTTATTACTAAATATGAGCCAGCTGGGCCTAAATCGGCACGCGGTTTAGAGGAAGAATATTGCCGGAAAAATCAACATGACAAAAATTAAAAGCAGGGGCCAAAAAACCCCCATATTGAGTCGTTATTTTTGTTTAGAATAAATTTGATTGTTATTTTGTGAATTTAAGAATTTTATTTGGATTCTTATTTTTTCGATCATTTTCAATATGTAGTTATGATAAAATTTAATATTTTTCATCGGCCATCCTTTATAATCTATTCTTATGACCGTTTTGAATCCCCTATAATCTAACAAATGAATTTTTGCCGAAAAAATAAAATTCCAAGTTTCAAGGCTAAATTATATATATATATTTTTTAAAGAACATAACCCTTACGGTCCTGAATGAAATCGATTAAATGTGCATAGGTAAATATGTATGTACATAAGTAGCTAAACTGAATAAATTATTTGTATCGTTTATAAATACGAACATTTATTTCTATGCGCCTGCAAGCCAGAAAATTTGTTAAATTAAAAGAAGAAAAAATTATATATTTACATGCACGTGTAGGTATGTATGTATGTACATTAGACCGTACCACCTTACAACCTTGTAACAAACAAAGTTCACCATACATCCCTGAGTCCAAAGTATTTTTTCAAGTTAATTTGGATAAGACAAAATTCGACCAAACTAGGTGAAAAAAAATTTGGCTATACAACTTTTTTTTTTTTTAAATAGGAATAATCGGAATACTTTCTTAGCAAAAGTTTAATGAGTTTAGGTAAGCTTTAATTTAGTAATAATAATAGATTGGCGCTTAAACATATGTTAGTGTTTGGCCGAGCTTCTGCTCCGACTTGTGGCGTGCACCTTGATGTTGTCACACAAAGCGGAGAGGACCTACAGTTTTACGTCGACTCCGAACGGAATTTTATGAGAAGCTGTTTTCCATGGCAGAAAAACACTCGGATGCTTGCCATTGCCTGCCGAGGGACGACGACTGTTAAGAAAAAACCTTTTTTCTAAATATAAGCTTGAATTACCGACTCCATAAAAGGGTGGGTAAGAAGTGAGATCTGGTGGGTAGGTACTAGAACGGGGTACTTGAGGCCAATGAACTTTGGAATAGAACAATTTTTCTCATTGCGGCAAGAACATCGATATATCATACTTTAAAATCCGACTGCAAATGCCGAAGATATAACGGAAAAGCTAAAAGAAGCTTTCGAAGTTGCCTTGCAAAAATACTTTAGACTCTGGGCTGTACGGCGAGCTTTTACTCCTGGTACGGTCTAGTGTGTATATTACATAAGTACATGAGTACAGTTTTATATACATATATGCTTGTATGTTACGTGGACTTTGTATGTTGCATATGCATATTTATCTGTGATATAGACAAAAATCCATTTTATATGTATGTACATACAAAGAAACTAAAAAAATTATATAACTAGAAATTAATTTGTTTTTAATGATTTCTTGCTATTGAAAGTTTACACGCAGATAAATATATACATATGTAATTGTAGAAGTAGAACCGAATGGAATGTCGAAAAAAATTGAAGAAGTTATTTAATTAAAGTTGGTAAATAAGTGTAAATTTATGCATAAGTATGGGCAGATTAATGTCCAACATTATTATTAGCCATAGGCCATAAATGTAATTTAATTATTTTAGTTATCGAAAAGTAATATAAATATTGTAAAAATTATATATATCCAAGTTGAAAAATTTATGAATTTCAGTAGGTTGAATCGAAAATGGTAATTGTTTTGGTGCAAAACCGAAGCTTTTTCTAAAAAGATAGAATTTTTTCTTTTGCCCTTTCACATTGAAGATTATCTGTGCATGTTTGTACCTAACATTAAAACCACGCACCGTAAATTTAAAGCTTTACTAATTGGCTAAGTATTCTTATTTGACTTAGTTGGGAAGTGCCTCAGATCAGACTATCCAAAAAATCCGAGAGCCAGCTGCTATAGCGAATATGTCGCAGCGAGTCAGTGAAAACCAGTGCTCAAACCCATCTTTCCAACTTGTAGCCATCGGCGTACAAATGAGGTATCCAGCTGGACGTATCAAATTCTCAAGAGGTCCCAGGAGGGAATTCTACTAGTTAAGGTCCAGTGAAATTCTATTTCCAGTAGTATAACAACACTATTTAGGACCAAGAAAGACGCATAAATTAGTATAGCGATTCAACTTTCAAAATTCCTCAACAAAGCGTTGCTTATACGATTCCTCAATGGTTGAAATTGTAAGCAAAAGTGGTTTCTGCAATTTAAAATCAAAAATACATTGAGGTTGTTCACACCTGCCTGGTTATGTGGTTATAATAATTTTTAACCGGATAACCTGATAACCTGGCAAGTGTGAACACCCTCATTGTGCAACAGTTTCGAAGTTGAGTATGATTTCTTCATGTCTTTTAAACATTTGACCTACATCCATTTGATTTTTTCGGACTTGTGCGTTCAGCTTTTTTCTGTATTTTTTTCTCGATTCTCGGTGCTTTAGTTTTCG